GTTCCCATTCTCTCTTCTTTACTAGTTCAGTGTGAGGCCACGATTCAAGATTAAGAGCCTCCAAAGAATATAGCGGAGCTAACACCCACCAGCATCTCCTTGTGCCTGAGGTTAGACCTTCAGAGCAGCAGGGTACGGGCAGAGCTGACAAGCAATAAACACCTGAGAAGCAGAACTCCAGACTGAGGTACCCAGCGGTGGTACCAGTAGCTTTAACTGTGCCCTTTTGAGAAGATGCACTCAGACGCACACCCTGAATGCACAACTACTTGAATGCTGCAAGCACCCGGGCGCTGAGGGGCAGCTCTTCAGGGACCCAGCACAGCCAGCTGGTGTCAGCATGGTTTTATAGGGCCTTGTGGGTTAAGGGCTTGAACTCAGCCTGGGCAGGGCAGGAGTAATGGCCATGTAGAACACAGGAAAGCCTGGCAGATCCATGTGTGGGTTATTAACTTTCTTTGAGGTGCTGCGGGCAGGGTGGTAACATGACTGTAGTATCAGAGCCATCAGCCTCTGCATAAAAATCACGCCACAAAAAAAATAAAGTTCTCTTTGGGGAGCCTTGCTTTTTTGGTTTTTTGGGGGTTTTTTTGTTTTTGTTTTTTTTTTTAAATTAAGTAAAATAGAGATTCTGGGGTATTGGCAGTTGGGCAAGAGCAGGACAGGAGTGAGGGAAACTCATAGAATTGGGCTTTTACTCTTTGTTGTCTGTTTAATCAGCTTTGGTGTCGTGCTGTCATCTCAGGTGGTGTCCCCAGCAGACTGCCTGCATGAGGGAAGTTCTAACGTTTGTGCTGGGGTAATAGTGAAGCGGAAGCGTCACCGTAGCAGGCTGTTGGAGACGTTTCTGTTCCTGCGCTAAAGAGCACCTCTGCTCAGATCAGCATCAACCCATCACAAAGCAGCACAAGTAGGGTCCATGCACCATGGCTGGGGAGGAACAAACTGCATTAGCTAGAGTCCTTTCCATTCACACCCGACCTTCCAGCCTAGTTTTTTGTGTGGAAACTTCCCTCTGGGTTTGAAGAGCACCCATGAAGAGCTGTGCTTGGGAGGAAGATGCTGTAAGCAACAGCGGGAACAGAGCTCTGCAGAAGGGGCACTGCAAGACTTATACCCATGGAAGTTGGGTTTGAAGCAGTGTCTCTGGGATAGACTCACCTTGTTCAGGCTTAGCCCCTGCTTCCTTCCTGTTCTTGCCTCTGTTGAATATTTTTAACCTACCGCTTCAGAGGCATCCTGCACGCACTCTCCTAGCCCGCTCCTGCCCTTCCTGCCCCTACCAGCATGGGGGACGCAAACACATCTTGCAACTGGCATCTTCCACTGACTCCCACCTTCAGCACTGCCGTGTTGCAGCTTAGTTTGGGGACACAATTTCCCAGGCTCCTGGCGCAGCTCTCGCTGCTCAGAGCTAGAGGATAACTCACTGCAGGTTTCTGACTCGGTCCAGATCAGCCTCATGCGCAGATCCAGTGTGGGGAACCCTAGATGCCATTTTTACAGCAGCAGTTGAGCTCAGCCTCCCATGGGAGCTTCCCAGCCTC